TCATTACCAAATTCATTGTTTTTAATCCATCGAACTTTCTAGAACTGTTAAATTAGCCAAAAAAAGAAACAAAAATAGCCTCACATTTCTATGTAGATTTCTCTCATCTTTAAGAAAAAAATAATAATTGTTCTTCAAAATCTTCTAGGGTGTTTGTAATTTCAATAGTTTTGTGTTTACTCATTTGATATTTAGAGGGTGTATTTATGATATACAAAAGTTTACATACAACCCAACCACTAACAGGGTAATAATCAATTATCATATACAGCATAGAAACAAAATAATACAGCTATAGTGCAGTATTTTTTTGGTGATTTAATCCAATAATCCTCTAAAGAATATAAATTTGTGTATACCATGTGGCTTAAATTATATATGTAATTAATCAGAGGATGGCCAAAATTGAGAAGTAGAAGAATGAAAGTGCGAGAGAGAGTGAATAATAAGAAGCGGTCGACGTGCTTGGTCGTTGAGATGGTATGTTTGTGGCCTCTGGGTCAAACGAGGAAGCCGGCGGTCTAGCCGAGGAGGAGGAACGGTTCGATGGAAGTGTCCGAGCCGAGGTCTCGCCCGTGTTACCTTAGCCATGAAAGTAAGACAGATTAATAACAAGACGAGATAAGTCTTAATCTTGACTAATATGGTTTACAAGGAAGACCAGTTGATAAGGAACTCACAATCAGATTCTTTCCAGCCCAGAATCAGTTTCTCACGGTCAAAGACAACGCGATAGCCAGTCATGAAGTTCTCTGCAAAATTGTAAGAACGAAGAAATCCGATAAAAAAAAACCCCGCATTGTAAGTTTTAGTAAGACTACATTTTCAAAATAATACTTACGTCCGATGATGCTGATGTCTTCGATCTTCATGATTGCTAAACAGTAGACATCTGTGTCCTGAAACATCACAAGGAGAGACGAAGCTTAAGTGTAATGGCAGACAAGGAACAGAGGCACATTGTAACAGAGGCTTCTTAACTAACCTTCATGGGAATCACTACTAACGGGTGATAAACGGGATATGAGCTTCCGCCTTTCATTGTCAGATTCACAGCTGGATACTGGAAGCTGTCTTTGTTCGGGCTGCAAATAGATAGATCCAAAAGTTAGTCGGGTCGGGTTTTAGAGAGAATCAGGAAGATGGTGCCCAGAGTAAAGAGGCAACCTTAATGCATAACAGTACTCAAAAGGCAACTCAGAATCCGTTTGATAACGCTTGTCCAGAGCTAGAGAATTAAACTGCAAAATTATACCGGGCTTATTAAGCCATGTAATACCAAACCAAACAAATATACAATATAGATGAGAACTTACACTCTCTGAAATAAGTGTGTAAGCTGCATCAGTCAGATAAGTGAATGAGGTTCCAGAGTCGAAAACAGCATCAAATTCAAGATCGCCAGTATTTCCTCCAACGCTTATTTGAGTGACGGTGATATTGTAAGTAGGACTGATTAACGGGAAAACAATATAGTAATTAGACTGGAATTATATTCAAGGAGATGGATAAGTTCAGTTAGGCTTAAAGAAGATATGATTCAACTGCTTTCTTACTGTGGTTGTCTTATGTTCAATGGCGTTTCTCGTTGGTCTACGCTACCTTTATCTCCAAAACTGATCCTACCAGCTCCATCGTTTCCAAAACACATCGAAAATGAGTTTGCTGCAATTCCTTCCTTTGCTAATACGCTCGGAACCGATATGTCTTCTAAGCCAAGCCCGAAAAGACCATTTGGAGCTGCACCATCATGGAATACACCAGTCTGAACTTGACCACAACTGATCCAGCATTGTTAAGATGAAAAACACAAAGGTTCAGGCTTACTAACATAATGGATGCTTCGAAACATAAAACATTATATTATGTTATATCATATATTGGGGTGTCTACATGGAAGAAATTACTTACCCTAAGGTAATCCGAGCGGGAATAGCTTTGGAATTTTTGTCATTTGAAACTAAGTGAAGTACATCCTCTACCAGGACACCAGTAGACGAGGTACCATTAGAAAGATACCTGATCTGATATGGGCAGTTACTAGCAGGGGAGGCGCATCGATCACCTCTTGTACATAACGTACTATTACAAGGAACTTTAGAACTTGTCGATGATACATTAGGGCTATAAATATTGAGCTCCAAACTCTGTTCAGCAAAAGGAAAAAACTCATGAAAGGAACCCAACAACTTGCAGATACAATAAATGTCTATAGAGATAACACATCAAATGTCGATAAAACAAAAGACTAAGAACAACAAAATCTTATTCACTACATTTTTCGTCCACCAAATCGTTGAGATTTATAGATGCATCATCTATAAGTCAGTCTAGTGTCAATCTCACTGTATTTAAGTGCTAAGGACTTGGTCAACCAAGAGCTACCTGCTCAAGTCAGCTCTTTCTATCTTACAATTGATCTTTATCTAAACACAACTAAACCAAAGTCTCAATTAGAACAAACCCATCAGATTCTTCACAATCAAGGCCAAAACCTCAAGAGAACAAAAGATACTTCAGCAACATACTCAAATGCAAGTATGTATACAACTATAAGCAAAGAAAAAGAAACATTACCGAGCCACCAGGTGATTTCAATTCACGGACACAATTGGTGCAGTCACAGGGCAACCAGAATAAGTCACTCCCAGTGTCTAGAGCAACCAGAAACCAATCAGACGGCGTCCCAACCGTCACGTTCGCGTAATGCAAACTGTACAAACACCAAATCAAGAATTAAACATAAACATCTCAAAAACCTCATAACAATCACAAGTATTTACACAGTTTATAGATAAAACACATCAACACAAATCAAAGCTATGATGAACATAAAACATCTCCAAACCTCAAGTCTCATAACAATCACAAGTTTTGACACAGTGTACAGAGATTTCACACATCTATACGAATCAAAGCTATGCAAAGAGAGTGAAAAAAAACCTTACAATCCAAGGGCGTCCACACGAACAGTATCGTTGCCGTCAGCGAAAGTGACGAGTGATTGATCTTCACCGGAAGCGAGTCTACGGCCTCTGATTAACCGATCTCGATGAGCCATCACTCTATAATACTTAGAAGAGTCTCGATTAGGCAGCCCATCACCTGGCAAAACCCCCACGACTTGATCCGAGAAACGGTGGTGAAATTCAAACCCAAATTCGCCAAATCCTTCGCATTTATCCGATACCCAGCTCGAAATCAGAAGAAGAAACAGACCCAGAAACGTAATTCTACAGCTTGAGTACAAAACCATGGCGGTTCCGTCGTCAAAAAAGTACTCCACCGAGATCTCGGAAACTTTCTATTTAAAAAAAAAAACGAAAATTCCGAGAAGATGACAAAAACCCTAGTCTCTGAATCTTCTCTTAGCTTAGGCGTAACGAAAATTCAGAAATGAAACCGAGAAATTAGGGAAGAAGGATCGTGAAGTCGTGAGAGAAGTGGAGAAGCGAGCAAAAAGCTCTAAACTTTTCTTTCTTCTCTTTTGTATGAACTTTGAAGTCAATTTAATTTTCGGTCCTCGAAATGTATTAATTAAGATTTTTTTATATATTATTAATTATAGGAATAAGAAAGGTGGCAGGTAATTTTCCTTGTATACCTCAAAAAGGGCCAAAGTCAAAGGGAAAGTCGTAGAAGTGGGCCCCAAGACTAATTTTCGTGTAGAATATTCAACGTTGTGAAAATTTTGCAATCCACAAAACAATCGATTGATAACTGAATTATTATTATGATGGTTACGCGATTGAATTAATATGGGTATATTTTCTTGTCAACACGTCATTGAATTATTTATAAGCGTAGTATTGGTGTATGTAGTTGGACCAACTTTTCGTCATTTTCTTTAATGTAATTATAAATTTATGGTTATGTATGATCCGTAGTCGCTAAAATTAGTTAGCATAGTTTTTTTTTTTTTTCACTACCACATTTCATTCCGACAAACTAACCAAATACATCAATATCTAGGAACCAATAAAAGACTGAAATACCAATATAAGAAAATAATAAATTTTTCTGTCGGGCGTGCTGGACCAGCAAATCTAACCTAACATTCTTCTCTTTTGGACAATACCGTATGGTACAGTCTGGAAAAAACACCCGAAATTAGCATAGTTAGATTTTAGATTCTACCCATTTTTTGTTCCATTTGTTGTAATTTATTAGATCCGATATTT